TTAGAGGTCCTTTCCAACCTTCATGATTCCTAGTTTTTACTCTCATTAAAAAATAATCCATCCACGAAGCCAGGAAACATGAAATTGCCACTCTACCCTTAATTGGTTTAGTGGTGGACTTGGTAGTGTTAGGTTAATGGTTGGACTGGATGATCTTAAAGGTCTTTTCCAACCTAAATGATTCTATGATTCTATCAAATAATTTGAAAAGCTGACTGATTTCAGTGAAAATGTTCCTAACTTCTCTAATTATAATCTGTTCCTCTGTTTTGCATCACTTATGGTGATGTTTCATTAAAATCAGTGTAATATATCTAATAATACTCTATTTTGATTTTAATGTATAGGTGTCATGGTTTGCAGTAGGGTGCTACTATCTCATGGTTGGCCACAAAAATGAACATGCCAGAAGATATCTCAGGTAAATTTCCCCCCCCTCCCCCGGTTTTCTTTAGTGAATCTGTTGCTCACTTGCTCAATAAATATTTAATATTCAAGATTGTTTGTGAGCTCATAAAATAAACAGAAGCCTCGTTAAACTGGTTACTACTAAAACATTCCTTTTGTTGATGCCCTTTTTTTGGTATAGCAATTTAGACATCAACCTGCTCGATACTTTAAAAATGACATACAGACTTATGTGGAATGTCTTCTGGCAGTCACCTTCCTGTTATGGGTGTAGTCCCTGCATTCGCTCATGCTGCCAAGCTAACTACAGCTAGATAATCAAGCCTCAGTTCTTAGCTTAAGGACGCTCAGCCATTCTCCCAGGTTCAGGTTTCATATCTTAAAGGGAAGAGTTAGTTGCCTTCAGACTGAGAAAATAACCTACAGAGCTTTCTAATGTTCCTGTCAAGTCCATCTTTCTGTGAAGACTCCAGATTGCAGTCTTGATGCTCAGGTTGCAGTCTTCAGCTCAGGACTTGAGTGACATTTTGTATACTTGTCTGATGTGACAAATACTTGTCTTTGTTAAGGCTAGTACAATTATATGGCAAAATTTCAACAGACAGTTCATTTGGTATTTTCATATCCTGCTTGTGAAATTTACATTTGCTAGAATATATTTATTTTGAAATGTATAGCTAGAATTTTGTAATACATTGTCACTATTACTGTTTTCTGTATTTTGCCCAAGTCACCTATTATATCGTTGTTCGTGTTCAGTAATATCAAATAATTCCTGTTGTCCATGAACAGCAACAGAAATAATACAATGAATTCTTGAAAAGCTGTGACACTTAAGTGCTAAATAGTTTGTTGAACTTTTAACTTTGTTTACCACTGGTCATTACAGAAGATTATCTTAATAGATACCTAACTATGTGGCATAGCATTGCTACATATGTAGTCATCTGAAGCAGATGAAATTGAATTTCAGATGTGTTTGCTTGTGACTTGCTCTTGTTCTTAGCAAAGCTACTACACTTGAGAGAACCTACGGACCTGCGTGGATAGCATATGGACATTCATTTGCAGTTGAGAGTGAGCACGATCAAGCAATGGCTGCATACTTCACAGCTGCACAGCTCATGAAAGGGTATGTCAAAAATGTCATATTCAGGAAAAATTAAAATTAATTCATAAATAGCACAGAATATTGACCTATATCCCTTTAAACAGTAGGAATACATTTGCAACAATTATCTAGTAGAGAACAAAGGAGGAAAAAAACCCAAATAATTTCATCATCTGCACTTAACTGCATTATTTGTGATTACTGTTGTGATTTTATAAGTTCTGAAGTCAAGATTTATATTTAAGTAATCTATGTTCTACCTGAAAGTTCTCTGAAATTTGTGAATCATGTTTGTCATACCAGGTCATAAACTGCTGTATAGTAATATCTTGAACAGCTGTTTCATGCTGTGGAGAAGGTTGTAAAATGAGTAGTAGACTAATCATGTCATATTGCATATAAAACTATTGTATTTGATTGTAGTTATTGGTAAATGTAATGCCTTTAATTGTTACTTCTTCCATATTCTATTTGTAAATGAAACGGAAGGAAACTAGGAAAAAAAACCCTCAGAACTAACTTAAGCACTGAGAAAATACATGTAATTCCAGAGCAAGTTACAATTATGTATTGGAGTTCAAATTCTTGGCAATAACTAATAAAGATGTAAAGTCTTTTAAACTGCCCCTTAGGCTAGTAGTCCATTTAAATCGGCTTTTACTTGGATGTACGTAAACATATGCAAACACAGTTGGCATTTCTTTATAGTTTGTGACGCCATTCCTGATAAGTGCACGTTTGTGTTTTTGTGGTTTGTTTTTTGTTTTTTAGGTGTCATTTGCCGATGCTTTATATTGGACTGGAATATGGTTTGACCAACAACTCAAAGTTAGCTGAAAGGTTTTTCAGCCAAGCTTTAAGCATTGCACCTGAAGATCCTTTTGTTATGCATGAAGTTGGAGTGGTTGCATTTCAAAATGGAGAGTAAGCTTGCAAAATAGGATTAAATACAATCTTAAACACAGATTATTCTGAAGTGTACTGTGCCAATATATCTACTAAAGTACTTACATTGAACTATAATTTCTTTTGGTTCTAGTTTAGATGGTGTTTACCCTAAACCCTTGCTTTCTACATTGTTCTTCACTGTTCAAGATTGAATGAAAAAAGCATTTAATGCTTGAGGAACATGCAGAGATCAACTATTACCTTTTGTGTGCCTGTCATTGGGTAGCGCATGCCTTGAAAAGGCAGCTGTCTGCACACACAAGTGCATGCATGCTACAAAATTTTGTGCAGCAAAATATTTTGTCAGCTCAGGAGGTTCCAAATATATTCTGAAAAAAACTAACAGATATAAGAACTCTTTAGTGAATATTCTTGGTTTGCTTCTGATTTTTTAACTTTGTCTTGTTAGCTCTTAGGAGCACATGCAAAATATAGCCAAACGTAAATTACTGTTTTTTACATCTAATTTCACTCATATGATGAAATAATGTCAAAGAACTGTTCCTTGTAATACTGTTTTCTCATACAGCTAATGAAAACTCTTCACTAATTTACTTCTCTTTCCCCCAACCCCTTCAATTCTTAGCTGGAAAACTGCAGAAAAGTGGTTTCTTGATGCACTGGAAAAAATCAAAGCTATTGGAAATGAGGTATTTTTCCTAATAACGTGCACGATGATAAATTTGTAAAACTCCAGGAAATCCTGTAATATCTTGTGACAAAATATAGTATGCTTATTTTAATATAGAAGCAATACAATATAAATTTGACTTTAAAACTTGGGCCATCTACTTGTGATTGATTATGTTGGGTTTTTAGATGAGAATCATCACATGTTATCTTAACTGCTACAGGAAAAGGCAAAAAGTACATTTCTATATGAAATTGAAAGAAAATAAGTGTTGACTGGAGAGTGGAATGCAGGTCTCATTCTCAGTCCTGGGTCTTAGTAGACCAATGGTTCTTGACCTGAGGGTGGAACTGGGTACACGTGTGAAGATGGCTTCTGCCACCTTAAGTGTTAGCCATTTCTTGAATGATTTCCACTTTTGTTTGGACATAATCCTGTAGGTATGGATTTGTTTTCTTTCTACCAGAGAGCGCCACTCTGTGGGAATGGGCCCCGGGATGCTTAACTAACTTCTGGAAAGTAATCAAAAAAATCACTGGCAAAAAGTTTGTCAGGAAGTGTGCTCATAGTTCAGGTGCTTTTGTGAATCAAAAATCAACCATTACAATCCCGATTCCTCAAATGCTGGAACACACTAATGAGCTTGTACCTACTGATAGTACAGTTTATTTTATTTCTGTTTTGTCATCTTGTCTAAAGAAACACATTGTACTAGAGTAACTTAAGATGTCTTAATGAAAGCAGTATCACATTGTGACAGGCTTCTTGTGAATTTTAAGATAGGGTTTTTTTCAATTTTTAGCTTAAATTTAGTTAATGAGGACACCACCTCATGCTACTATGGCTATTAACAAAGCCTCTCCTATCAAGATAATGAAATTGCTTCTAGAGCACAATAACCCTTCTATAAAGTGGAAAGCACTGAAAAAACTATAATTTTCATGTGGACAAGACACACATTTACTATAACAAACTGCACAGATACTAATTTATATGCTCACCAATATATAAATAGGGTTGTTGCAGTTTAGTTAAAGCTGTGTTGTTCATGTGAATACTACAAACTTTGTAGATCAGGCTTAAATTTATGCATATGCCTAAATTCTTTTATGTGTGGCATTTTTCTTGTTTATTGAGAAGTACTAAATATCAACATATCTATAAAAACACGATTGGAAATTGAGAATTAGAGAGTGAAACACCTAAAATAACTAGAGATACAGAGATACTCTGACATTGCATTATGAATTTGCAATTTATAACAATCAAGTCCAAATGATTTTTAATTTCAGCAAGAAGTGCTTTAAGGATTTTGTTGGCTCAGATTGTCTTGTGTGCATCGTAAATGAGCTAATTTATTTAAAGCAGTTGAAGTTAGACTATGGAGAAAACAGTAAAAGGACCTTCCGTATTTATGATTATTTTACAAACGCCTAGTTTGGGGGGTCTTCAGTGCTCCTAGGCTGAGAGACTTGATGTGATTTTTAGTTAAGTAGAAAAAAAATTTTGTTTTGTTTCCATCCAAGTTTTACTCTCATTGACCCTTTAAAGAAATTTTATTGGGTTTGTGGAATGGAAAAAATAGAAAATTGAGTTACTGAATAAATGTTTTGAGCCTAAATAGGTGTTTTGAAAAGCATTGAAAATGCTTGTGGTATTCTTCTCGGTCATGAATGAATTGTCTTGTTCATTTGTATGTTGTTTTTTTTGAAGTAGACAAAATTCAGTTACAATCTGGGAAGCTGCAGTTATTTGAATTGTTGCATTATTTTGCAGGTAACCGTTGATAAGTGGGAGCCTTTATTGAACAACTTAGGACATGTCTGCAGAAAACTCAAGTAAGCAGGGAGTACTGGAGCTACATTTATCTGGAATACTACACAAATGTGTTTTCTCTAGGCCTACTTCTTGTTTCTATCAAGATTATGTACCACATGAGAGCAGCGTAGAATTCCTTGAATTGGGTTGTGAATGTAAATACATTAATTGCCCCTTATATCCAGTTTAATACACACAAGCTAAAGTACTTAATGTAAAAGCCTTTCCTTAACTATTGATTCTTACTAGATAGAAATTTGGTCGTAGGCTTTTAGATCCTGGTATGGGTGTGAATTCTAACTGGCTACTGTCCCAGTCCTGACATAATTTAGTATGTCCACTGATTTAATTAACCTAAAGGTGGTTTTGTGCCAGTTAATTGCTTGGATCAGTGCTTATGTTTTTTTTAATTGAAGTGAAATATTCAGTGACATTAACACAGCAATAAAGTATTAGTTTATGGGTTTTGAGAACAGCACTATTTCATATTTCATTTCATATTTCCATTCTAGGAAGAGAAAAAGAAAGTGCAAAGTACATATGCAAGCTTTAACAGTTCTAACATAGAGAAATGCTTTCTCGTTAATTACCTTAATCTGATTTTAACCATTATTTTTTGTTTAATCAGTACCATATCTCTTTTTAGTGTCATGCTTTTAATTGTCCAATTGGCATATACTGTAATTTTTGTTTCAAAGCTGCTAATGAGAATGTGATTATGGTGGATATAAGTTGTACTTCTGCTTTGGCTTTGGTAGTAATTGCTTTGTGCTTGAATTGCCAATTAATCCTCACTTTCATTATGGAATACGGATGTATAATAGCTACCCCTTCTGCCAAGATCAAACAAAAGGCACTGTTTCTGGAATCTATTAATGAGTATAATTGCAGGTTTTTTCCAAATACTTGTTTCAGTTATAATTCCTTTTCTCTTTTTTAATTTCTACAATAAGTTAGTAACTGCTTACATCACACTTAGGACAACTTGCATTGTATTATTTGTTCAGGTTCAGAAAGCCAACCTAATGTATTTCTACATCCTTGTACATCTTTCAAGAAAATGAAGTTCAGAATTTAGGCAGCTGTACATATGCTTTGACAACTAAAAAAATTCTGTAAAAACTAATTTACTAGTGTCCATAAAACATGATATTGCTATTATGAAAAAACTTACTGGATATGTCTACTCACTAGCATTATGTGGTTGAAGTTTGAAAGCAGCATATTAAAATACAGTGGTAGCTAACTGGACAGTTAAATACTATGAGTGAAAGTAAAATTGAAATCACGTGAAAGTTTTGTGCAGCAAGCAAACAGTTGCATAATTTTTCTGCCTCAATTGTTACTTAATGCCTTCTAACAACTTCATGTGTTGCTGTTTTGCATAATTTCATTATAACTATAGATGTTAGAATTTCTTCTGAATAGACAATTACTATATTTATTTTTAACAACTTGGTACTAGAATGTCAAATGGAACAATTTAATTTGTCAGAGTAATGCCACAATATACATTAAATCCTTGTTTTATAAAATGACAAATGCAATAAGGAGTCTAATTAATGGATGATTTTCAAAGAAAAGGTGGCTGAGTATTTGAAAGAAATTCTGGATATGTGTAAACCTTCTTTTCTGATAGAGAAGGTAGCAAAATGGAAGTGACAAAAGTACCAGTGTATGTAGCACTTAAGGGCTGTGAAATTTCTGTCCAGAGAGCTTTTCTTACTTTGAACAAAGAGTTATTTGAACAAAGAGTTTATTGCTCCTTCACTCCCCTCGGGAGGAAAATGAAAGCTACAGAAAGCAAGCTAATGTTACAATGAGAAGCATTAAACATCTAAAGCAATTTACCATATCAAATTGCTAAAATCATCTCCAAATGGGGCCTAGCTGTAGGCAGCTGTTGTGCTACATAAGGGGAAGAATGGTTTCTCAATTATGTTGAGGAAGAAAATTGTCAATATCCATGAGTCTTGTGTGTGTTCTATTATGTTCAGAGTATGAAGCAATAATTTTTAAGTTCTTGCAGGACTGTGTGCCACTGATCTAAGGAAAACATCAATATAACATTAGAACAACACCTTTCACCCTGAAGCTTACTAATAGATCTTCTGTATTTAACCCTAACAGGAAATACGAAGAGGCACTGGAATACCATCGCCAGGCTCTAGTACTAATTCCTCAAAATGCTTCTACTTACTCTGCCATTGGCTACATACATAGTCTAATGGGCAATTTTGAAAGCGCAATCGACTATTTTCATACGGTATGTAATTGCCTGAAATTAAGTGCTGGTCACAGCTTCTGTTATTTACTGTTTCATTCTGATTTGGTTTTGGAACAGAGAACCAGCATTTTATCCAAATCAGTGTTTATTTTATAATCTTAATTTAAAAAAAAAAAAATCTTTCCAAGTTTTCTATTGATTAGGTAGAAAATAGCCACTTTGTGAAACTTAGTACTTGGATCCTTCTTTGTTATAAACTGAATATCATAATTGTCATATACATTTTATATACATAAACTTCTCATGCAGCTGAAATGATTTAAAATACTTCCAACCTATGCCTTGAAGTAGAAATTTTACAGCAAGTGAAACATTTAAAGATATGCTATTTTCTGTTGTCTCAGATTTATCTTTATTATATGATACTTGTGTATTATTATTGCAAGACAATTTTCGTGATTTCATGTTTTCATAGAGTAACAGTGAACTTTCCTCAGTTAAATTTTTAGCACTCAAGTTGACTGGCTTGAATTTAGCTGCAGTTCTATTTACCTAGAAGCTTGTATTACATACATTTAGTCATAATTACTTTAAGCATGTCTCAATCGATTTCATTATAGATTGTAGCTTAGCTATACAAAATTAACTTTCTCACAGGTTTTGTAACCATTTTAGTAGCATGCTATACTTCATGAGTTGTGAATGATTGTCTGTCTGTATACATGTAATTTTCTGGTTTCATTTTTGTGCTTTGCTTGCTTACTACAGCCAGTTCATATGACAATATTATTTTGGTTGTGCAATGTTTTGCTTCTACAGTGAATGCTGTGCTCTGATAGCATTGTTGAGCAACAGAACAACAAACTTGGAACCATCGTGGACTTAAGATGCAAATGGTTTTATTTGCTACTGAACACTTTTTATTGATTTGTTGTTTGTTGTTTTTTTTTTTTTAATAGGCCCTTGGTCTTAGGAGGGATGACACATTTTCAGTCACAATGCTTGGACATTGCATAGAAATGTATATTGGTGATTCTGAAGCATACATTGGTAAGTCTTTCACTTATGGGACTCTTAAAGTCATTGAGTCCTTTAAGAGCAGTCTTATTCTTACATCGAGAAAGACTGTCTACCATTACCTAGTTAACTTACAAAGTAGAGTATGTTTTTGTTTGGGTGGGGTTTTTTGTTTTGTTTTTTAAATGGCTAAATGAATCAGAACTTATCAGGAATTGCAGATGACCACTGTTTTTTATAAGCATCATAACAGTAAATTCTTTGCCATTAGAGATGGTGATGGTTTCTTTCACATAAAATACTGATGTGTGGCAACTTAGAAACCAAAGGGAATGGGAAAAAAATGAAATAGAAATGTGGAGTTAGATAATCAGAGGTCCTGATTTCGGCTAGTGCTGCTGTAAGAGAGATATGGGTATGGCATTTTCAAAATGACAAAACTCTGCTCTGTGGAGACAGAGTAAATTCTTCTGCCTCCAAAAATAGAGCTTTACATATGGTTAAAAAAAAAAAAAAGTGCTTCATAACAGTAATACATTATATTGCCATAGTTTGTAATATTCTATGAAAGCTTTCTGCCCCAAAACCCCCTTTATAGCAACATATTTCTGCTTCATTGAACTTACTGATTTATCTGTAATGAACACAGTTGATGTCCTGTCAAGCATGTTAATGAGGCTGAAGCCAGTAAAAGCCATCTGTGTGCTCTCTTGCTTTTCCTGCAGATTTTTCGCACAATTGAAGCAGATGTTTCTTCTCAATATTGTCTTGTTCCATATGTAGTCAATTAACACATCTGGAAGAACCATGCAGCTGTGTGATATGCATTAATGCAAACCATGCTGTGTGTAACTTGAACAACAAAAAAAGCCTCTTAGAGAATTGGGAAGGGAAATGGCAATTGCTTCTAATAACAGACTTTTGAATCTGAGTTGTACTTCTTATATCGTAGTTTTTTCAAAAAGGAGGCTGCTGTGTTTTTTCAGAACAACTCTATTCAACTTCAGTCATTAAGCAGCAACAGCTCCCTGTCGGTCTGAAAGCAGAAAATCATAGTAGTTTCCGGATGATAGTTTCTTTGAGAGAGAGTTTTTTGGGAGTGTTCACTTGGAATAAACTAATGGTTTGACTGTTTTCCTAGGAACAGAGATCAAAGACAAATTAAGATGTTATGACTTTGATGTACACACAATGAAGACATTAAAGAACATAATTTCACCTCCCTGGGATTTCAGAGAATTCGACATAGAAAGACAAACCCTGGATGAAAGTGGCATAGTAACATTAGAGACATCACATCAAAGGAAAAGTACAGATACCAGTCGCCCATTGGAAGAAACATTTGAGATTGAAATGAATGAAAGTGATATGATGTTAGAAACATCAATGTCAGACCATAGTACGTGACCATAAATGCTGGTAGGGAGCTCGTTTTGTCTAAGTGTAATATGATTGTTTTAGCATTTTTGTTATGGTGTTATACTTTCAAGAATTTGCTATTTTTATATGAATTCAAACTACTAGTCTCTAGTTAACATCGGGGAAAAAATGCTTGCCTTAAGGATGATTAAAAAGTATACATGATGGACTATTTCTACAAAATGAATCATACATGATGAAGTAAAAAATAAATTAACTTTTTTTTTAAAAAACTGTTTACCGATCTATGTGTGTGCCATCAGTAAGACTGTGAAGGTTTAAACTTACATGGAACCGTTAACAATGTTGTTAAATTGAATAGCCGGTCTAATATAGTATTATTGTGGCTTCTGTTTTCATCCTGTCTGTGAGGAATGCTTTCTTAGTAAACAGACCAAAAAAAAAAAAAAATCCATGAAGTTTTATACTTACTACTTTATAAGTACATATTCCTTTAAGGAGCAATTTCAATGGTTTTCCATCATTTGACTCTAATTTGGCATACATTAAGTTGATGACAAAGCTTTAAATTGATGACAAAGCATGTTACTTTGTTATGCTTTCTCTTCATTTCGGTTCTTTATCATTATTCTATATTGTATTACTGAAAGAACATTTAAGAACTGGTTTTGGTAAGCTGACTAGCCAACACACTTGAATGGCATAAACATTAAGATAAATCGGTCTTACCTGCAATTAGCATTACAATAAAGTTGTAAGCCACAGTGTACTATTGTAGGGACCACAGTCATTCTCTTAACACATAGTTGTTTTGTCAATGCAAAGGATTAACTGAATAATATGCATACACAGTTTTTACAAGTCTCTAAACTGTGGTATTTTTAAATGTCATTGGTTCACTGAAAAATGAAGTAGTAAAGCATATGCCTCTGAAACAGAAGCAGTCATTTGTCCATCCACTAAACAGGACAGGTCTGTTTGCCTTCTTAGTATGAATGTTGAATGTATCTTGTGTAAATTTTTCCCTTCCCTTCTCTTCTTGCCTTTTCCATCTATGTCACTGTGTGGGGCATAAAATTAAAAAATTACTGCTACAAGCTGTCATAATATTTTCTTCTGTGACCTCCAGCAATGTTTTGGCATTTAATGTTTAGAATAGATTTCCTGAAGCTTAGCAGTCCAGACTTTAGTGTGAAGTACTTCAGAACTTCAAGAAGTAGCAATTTTTCTGTAGACAAAGATTTTTTTTCATGGAATACAAAGATGATTTTTGTTTTAGTCAGCAAAATAAAATCATTGGTCTAAAATGTAATTTCTACACTGTATCTCAGTACATTTGTGCTACCATTTAAACATGTATTTTCAATTATACTTTTAGCATAAAAAGTATATGTTTGGTTATTGTGATATAATTTTCATCCACTTTATTGGGGCAAGGTATAAAAATATTAGTGCGGTTCATGAAATATTTCCTATACCTTTTTTTGGCACTTTATGTAACTGAGGAGACAAGGGCTGAATCCAAGTACCTGTATTGAAACCTTGCTGTCATTTTTGCTTTCCAGCAGTCCATCTTACTTGATTAATGGTCCTTTTAACTTTAAGACAATGTTTACTTTTAATTTGCCGATGAATGGATATCAAAGGATGGACTGATACTGTAAACTTTTGAGTGATTTTTTTTTTTTTGTATAGAGTTTTGCATAAACTGGAAAATACAAACTGCTACTTTTCATCCCACTACATCTGTCTCATGGCTCATTGAGTTCGTAGTGGCCAGGTTCTGAACCCTAAGGAATATACACTTAGTAGAGACCACTACTTGGAAGAAATTGATAGGTGGGAAGGACTTCATTTATCTGAGGATTCTCATTAGCCAATCTAAGATACCTGCTAGTGAATCAAAATGTTAACTTTCCTTTTTCCTCTGCTTTGCCACCTTGCTTGCTGTGCTGCTCAGACAAACTTTTTTTTGCTGTGACTGATTATGTCTTCATTCTTTGGCTCTTTTCCTGATCGCGCTCTCATGAATCCCCATCTGGATCAGGGAGACTTCGTCGCATCAATGCATGCCACATACATAATTTGAATCCAGGGTATTGGCTGTTTTCCACGTGTCTGTGCATTATTGAGCATGAATTCAAGTTCTAGACACACCTGAACTTTAAAATTCAAGGGTATTCAGTGAGGAAAAGCTAGGGGAAGAGTCTGTGTTTTAGCAGCAATTGCACGCACTCTCACTGTTGAAACCTAGTTGGGTCCAGGAGATCCCCTTGCTTTCCTGTTAACACCAACACAGTGCTGTAGAGAAGTCTGGTTCTGTCCCAGTGCCAGCGGGAATTGTTTGCTGGCTCCATAGAGGGAATTGCAGATGCCCAAGTTACCATTACATATGTTAGAGCATATGGATTGGAGTATGTGTCCAGTGCAGCATTCAATACCAATTCCATATTTTCTTAGATGTTAGAAAGTAAGGTGAACGAAAATGTTTTACTTCCTAGTTCTAAAGCACTTCACCCAAAGTTGCACATTCTCCTGAAAAACATGGGAAGAGCCATGAGTCTTAAGTGGAAAAGTCTTTATCCAAGCAGAGTGTGGGGAGAAAAGAATCATTCAGGAAGCATATGCATCTCATTCAGTGTGGCTGGCTAAAAGGTTCATACAGATTTTTCTTTTCTTTTGGTATCTGATTGTTTGTGTGTGGTTCAGGTGACTTTTTATGTTTGAGGTAAACTGGAGATTTTTTCCTGGTCACACTAGAAGACTCTGGCCAGTTAAGACGCTATAAGGAGTGTGTCTCAACAGCTACGGTGTTAGGCAAGTCTCATCCTGTAAAGGATCCTTTGGTAGTTATTTTTACATCTGTGCTTATGTAGCCTGAATGATTGTAACCAAAAAGACCATCTCATGGATAAAGTGACAGCAAAGGCTTTTTTATTCCAGCATAGGTAGATCTAGTTTTCTAGTAAGACATCATGGCAATTTCTATATGGAAGTTGGCAGAAATGCCTTCTAGGAAATCAGGCATTTTGTCTAATGTCAGGCATGGATATAAGTCTGTATTGGGTTTGTGTGGCAAGGTTTTGGGGGTGGGGGGGGCTAGGTTGTTTCCTTTTTTCTACGTTGCTACTATTTTCATTGACAAAATAGTTTAAAAGATTGATAAAAGTTAATATTTCTTCCTGCACTGTCCAGTTACGATCTGATGGTATGTCGGCTCTGATGACAATACTGGTTTATACTATTCCTGCCCTGCCCATAGGAATCTGCTTACCCCTGTGCTACTTCCTCAGTTGTGGTAATGCAAATTTTTGTGGTTATGTTGTGAATCAAATCAGGGAACTGGTACAGCATTTAAAAGTCTTTTCTCTATCTGATCAGTTCTCAGGTTCAAAGACAGCAAACTGCTGCTGTGTTAGCGTCATCGGTGGGGCAGAGTGGTAGGAGTGGGAAGAAACAGATGAAATAGCGAGAACAGGCGTTGCTATAAAGGCAGCATATCATGACACGGTGCCTTGGCAGGTATCTGCTGGAGGTTTTTTGGCTGGCTGTTGCTGGCCTTCATTTATAGGCATTGTAAGTTACCTAGAAAGAAACGTATGTAAAGCGTCCTAGATTGTGAATGACTTTTCCTGGACGTCACGGGAATTCTTGACATGATTTGGCTTGGCTCCCAGCCCTTTAGGCAGCTACAATTAGGTTAGAGCTTGTGAGCTAGCTGATGATGTGCGTCTTTCAGACAGGACTTGAGGGAAAGTTTCTCTCTCCTCCTTTCTCTCCTGTTCAATCTTTTAATCTGTTCTTGTTCTCTCCAAATCCTTGTCTTTGCACCAGCAGCTCCTGCTGTGTCCTACTCTTCTGCACTTCCCAGCACTTGTCCTGCTCCAGTCCTGCTCTTGCCTGGACTCTGCTTCCTAGACAGTGCTTGGTGCCTTTTGGGGTTATTCTGACACTGATTTTCACCCTGGCTCTAGTTAAATTGAGTAATGTCCTTGTCCTCATGAGGTCTTTGGTTATTAATTTTTGTCTGATGACCTCAGGTTTTTTACTTTTGCTTCGTCATTGCCTCAGTTGGCTTTGGCCACTGGGTACGAGGGTCCAGGACTTCATCAGGTTGAGTGGCTTATCCACATGTCCCCAGAAGACACATCCTCACTCTGTCACAACCTGATCTCTTGCAAGGATCAGCCTTGTCCCAAAGTGGGGCGACCTGGCTGTTGCCTTAAAGGTTTTCAGAATAGGTTTGAAAACCCGCAAGATATTTCTGCTGCAGATGGCTCCAACAGTTTGTTCCCAGGGACTATTGCCTAAAAGATTGGAAGAGGAATAACACATTTCAGAGTTTCCTTGGCCAATGCCACCTGCTTTTATTATTCTATATCAATTCATGTATTTCCTTCATGTTGTGGACAGCTGTTTGAGGACCGACAATGCAGCAGCATCTGAAGATTGGCAATGAGCCTGTGTATTCTGCTTAAATTGCAGGCATTTTTGCTCATTCTGTCTTGTTTCAGTAGCTCCAGAGGAGTCCATTGGTACACCCATGACGTGTGCCCTTACTTAGGAGTTTGCTATGCCTCTGTCACCAAGCTAGTCCAAGACATCGCAACTCACCCAGGAATTTCAAGAAACTCTTTGGATCTAGACATTGCAAAATTTGTTGATTGCAATCTAGGACTGAATAAGCCTTGATCTCATCAATGGGTCAGTACTTACTTCCAGAAGAGCTACCTGGAAGACCAGTTTCCCCTGGGGGGGGTCTCAATTCAGGGACACCTTACAGGTGAGAGATGATTCTGAAGCTACATTGCTGTATCGTTCCCATGTTCTCGTCCTTATTCTGCTCGTTACTGGTGACCTCCCCAGGGACTTGCCACTGCCAGAGACTGGATTGTGGCACTGTCTGACTCTACAACCATTCATATGCCCTTATTTGATACATTTCTCTTATTCATTAAGACCAGATGCCAAGCATCTACCAATATTTGACAAAAATTATCGGGGTTGATGCAGAAGACCACAGGATGTTAGGCTCTGTAGGAGCAAAAGCAGCAGCTGAAATTTGGGGAGCCAGGCGGAAAGGCAGGGAAGACATCAGCCAAAAAAACTCTCAAGCCCGTTGCATGGCCTGGGAGGCTGAGGCTGGTGGTGCATTGCCTGGGTGCAGGCACTGCTCCTGTAGGTTCACAAGATACTCCCCGCAGGGACAAAACTTGGGAGCTGATGCAAGTAACGAGCAATGGCCTCTTTTCCCTTTTCCCACCCT